TTGATGCATGGGAGTCTCAGCAGTCAAGCCCTGATGAATATTCTCCTTTAACGACATTCAGGTTGACTATGCGTTGTTAGTTGTTGCCTGGAGCCACTCCACTGAATGTAGAAGATTAGTAGTTAATGGCCGCGCCGTCTTCCGTACTTCGCAATTCATTGATTCGCTCCGCGTAGACAACTTACACACGAGGATATCTGTGCCAGCGGTACTCAAAAGGTGACTGACACTGCACGTGGCTGTGGTAAATCCAAGACAAATTTTCAGGATGCAAAACGCCCGCAGATACAATGTCAGCTTTGGCAGAGCATGATATAATCAGGAGTCTATCAATAGTCTATTGATAGACTCCTGATATAATGCTAGTTTTGTACGTTAGTCAAAAACGGAAGTTAGGGATAAATAGGCAGAAATAGAGGTGGAGCAAGATTACGTGAATAATTTGAGAATGACAGGGAGAAATAAGAGAAGGGGCATAGAGAGTGGATTCTTTACACTTTATCTGTATCCACTACTTTCCTGTCTTCCCCCCCCCCTCAACAACTTTACCATTCTCCTCGACCACTGCCTATTTCCCCTTCTCCTCACACCCGTATTTCTTTTCTTCAGTATTCGCTCTCCACCTTTCATCTTCCTCCTTTCCTTTCCCTTTTCCTCCTCTTACCCATTTCATCCTTTGTCGTATACTCGTCATTCTAGTCACTGCTCTCCTTCCTACATCTCTTTCCCTCTTCTTCATGTTTTCCTTCAGCTTCTTTCACCTCTCTCCTCTTTCTTCCCTTGTCCCTCTTCACTAACCCGACCAGGCTGTGTGACTAACGTCAATATACACAGGTCTCCTAACCCTAGCAAAGACCGTTTCTTGGAGCTACCTCTTCACCTGCGTTCCCTCAACCCTCTCCTTCTCGTCCGCTTCCCTGTTTCCGCTTGATTGAATCTGTCAGTATGTGCTGGCATTGCGCCCACTGGCATTTTGTCTCGTGCCAATGCCCTGCGTGCGTCCCCTGTATATTGTTGTAAAATATACTGTAGTATTGTTTGCCTGCTCGTTCGTATAATGCCTGTACGATGAGAAGTACTGCTAGGCGTAGCGACTGTATGTTCGATTCATAGAGCAACACATTTCTGCTGTTAGCGTTTGGCAGGATTACATGTGGTTTAAGCTAAATTTATTTTTAACAAACTGTAGGTTTGATGTCCAATAAATACTTTATGTAAAGTAAATTCTTGATGACGTAATACAGTTATTTGACACTGTTAATAACAGACACATCGCATGTTCTGTTCAACTAGCTCTCGCCTATACATGCGTGAAAGTGTTAAATTTCCTTTTGAAGTAGGTGACAATGACACGGACAATGAATGCATTACTAATTGCTACACGTACCTGTCGCAGGTTACCTACACATAGATGAAATTTTTAAGCGTTGTGCTTTTGATTTTTTTGCTACTGGAAAGTTTCAATGCGTAAGCAAAACGCAAAGGAACGAGTATGCCATGTTTAATAGTACATTTTTCTGCTAATTAGACAAGAAAGGTCGGATGCTAATCACTATATGATATCTTCCCGTCGTGTGTTTTTTTTGTGGCGATCGTAAAATATTAATTTAGAAATTCCGCATGAACGTGTTTCACGTGAGTGTGCAGCAGTGTATAGCACGGGGATGTGATTTTACGTTAGCTGTGTCGTGTTGCTATGTCCTACTCGTACGCCGTTACCAATGATCTCCCGTGTTTATTACGATGGCGTACGTATTTCGATCCACTCTACGCAGCAGTACGTTGCGGCAGTACATGTCTGCCTTCTGGTAATATCAGTAATTATGAATTATTTTGTGCTCGGGTGTATAGCGTGAGATTTTCTTGCGAAAGAATGTGCACTCTATGTATAATTGATGAGCCCTGGCTACTACCACAGTACGCACCGTATATGACTGACTGTAGACTGTAGAAACAGGACTGTATGATATCAAGAGCTAATAATGGATATATGAGGTTGTAATGCCCGTGTTGGAGCGGTTCTCACGTGCACATGTTGTTGTTGTATGCGTAGGTGGCGTACGGTACAAGCTGCAGCCTGCTCGTATCGAGTGACGACTGCAAACGAGAACCATCTCGTGGCTCAACTCATGCCCTAATATAGTTGCTTTCACACAGTTGTAATGTGCTTGCACGTGAAATGGCTCGAATGACTGGAGATACGTGTGGAGATTAGAGAGGGATATGACGCTGACCTAGCTGCTGCGATGTTTCGCTAATATGAATGCGTCATTGATCGATCGGATACGATAGGATCCTTGATAGATCGGATACTTGATAGGATCATATCTTAATTCACCTTCTTTATATACGCTCTTGATAGGATACATATGCACGTATACAAAATGACGAGTAAGGCTATAACAGCCTCACGCCGTAAGCAAATACTGGCATTGCCTGATGCAGATGCCTTAATTGCTCGGAACGGAGAAAGGGGAAAACTTTTCGTATTTTTTCTCTTGCGCTTGATACCAATACCACGGTGAAATTACACTTAGGGAAATTGTAGACAACCAGAAAATAGCGTATGAAAATTAAATGAAGTAAAACTCATGAAAGAAATTCACGGCCCCCTATGTAGTAATAATAATCCTCTAGTAGTTGGCTTACATTCTTTGGGTGGGGACATTAGTGGGCGATAGTTCGTTCATCCTGTGATTTCAAACCGACAGAGCATATAGTGATTGCCCAATTCTTATGATCACTGACCCGAAGGATCCACGCTCTTCGAGTGGCGTTTCCGTAAGCGAGTAATGCCAGGTTGGATAAGCGGGTGACTCAAATTTGGACGCAATAGTGTGCAATTTGGTGAGTAGTATAATGCGTAGCTTGAATCCGGGTTCCTTCTCAGACACTGCGTTCCGCATAGCTGACAGTGCTCTCCACGCTTGCCTACCCATGAGCAAATTACCTTACAAGGCATAGGTGGAACCAGTCATGCAGGTGTTTAAATCTGGCATTGCCCGACAGGGATGATTGTGGGGTCTAACGTGTACATAACCTAGCTGTATCAGCCGTTCTCAGTTGCTGTAGGTGACGTATTTGAGTTTGTGGTTACCTGATTGTATAAGGGTATCTTTCTTCGTCTTGCTGGCACAAAGTCCTACTGTTAGGGAAAGGGGAAATGGCTTTGCAATGCGTACTTTGTTTTCAATTGATACAATCATATACAAGACTGATTGACATTGCTCTTAAATATGATAAGGTTGTGTGATGGTGGAGACTGCATTTCTTTCGATAATTGTAAATGCTGGCATGTGTTATACTGTATATTATTGTAAATAAAGACGTTGTATCAGTCTGTATATTATTAGCGTAACCTTATCTATACAATAATTAGAAGTTATTAAAAACAAACAAATTGTAAACAATTTGTTATTATTCACTTCTGACACAATGTATATATATATCTATGTAGCTCCAAGAAACGCATATACGTGTGTATTGACATTATATTATATTATATTATATTACGTTATATTACATTAGTCTCGCTGCCTGGTTGGGGTGGTGCCCGTGTATATCTATAGTACATTTATATATGTTTGTAGTATTAGCAGCATTTAGATTTAAAAAATAAAGGCAAACATGTAATTGAACATAATTTTATAAATTCCTCTTTCACACGTTTCAGATGGCCCAGATTACATAGATTAATATATATGCGAAGGAATTTGTTATAACCATGTTTGATAAGCATAAGCCGAATAAATCTCGTGTGCAATAGAGCGGAGAAGAAATAAAATATTTCCACCTGGGTCTCCTGACCGTTTCATATTGCTCCTTACATGTCAGCTGAGCCAGCACACCCATGGGGGTATTTTGTGGTAATACGGTTGATGTACTCGTATTCAGCTGGACATTAGGCTGGTAGGATGGGAGGATCATTCTGCAAGGTCATTCTGACCATGTTAGCTAAGCTAATAATAATTTGGCCCACTCTAATCTCATCAGGTGTGAGCTTACTACGTGTGCATGTCGTGACCTACATCTAACTTCATTATCTAGCTAACTGGTATAGTCTCGCACCTAAATGTATCTAATTGGACACAGTGAATAACCAGGAATAGTTTACTTTCATGTTAGTATATTGTCAGTGCAAACATTTTTTCCTACGTAACATTGGTCTGATAAGATTGCATATGCTTAGCCTTTACTATGTGATATTAGACTCAACAGATCAGCCACATGTGTCATTTAGCAGATTTAAGATTAATTATATAGGGAACGATGTAATATTTGACCTTGTGCCATAGATTTCTAAATATCCATAATTCAATCAATCTCACGATGTAACTCGGCTAAATCGTGTTTCCAACAAAGAATTATTGTACCATGAATGTAAATAAAGATAAAGGGCTCGAATTTCACCATGGTGCTACCTTACTTCTCGCGGTTTCCCAAAAGCTTGCGTGGTATACGTAGCAATAAAACGTTGTGGCTGCCCTACCTGGTATGCCTATATGCCCTTCCCATAAACTCCATCTTGTGTAGGTATTCCTATTTGTCCCCACATAAAATGTGAACCTCCTTTTAAAATATCACCCTTCTTTGAAGAAAATTTTTACCTTGGGACCCCCTTCAATTGCCATGATGCCCTAAAATGTTCCATTAAACCCAAAGCAACACTTGCATTGACCTCAAAAGATTTTTCCAATTTTACAATTTTACCCAAATATAAGTAGTCTAATGATGGCAATTCAAAACATCACTAATCAGCCTTCTGCTCACACTAGTAGAGTACAATGTTGGTTGGTTACTCCACTGCATTTTTTGCCAATGCGATTTCTCAGCGTGTGTTATACGTGTGGATGTAGAAATATAAGTAGTCTAATGATGGTGATCCAAAACATCACCAATCAGCTCCCTTCTAGCAAAATGTAAAAATGTGGGTTGGTTATTTCCGTGTACATCGTGCCAATGCCTCACTCAATTGCGATGTTTCGGCGTGTGTTCTACAGGTCGATGTCGACGGTAACGGCTACGTCACGGTGGACGAGCTGGGTGACGCACTGAACACTGTCGGCATCAAAATCGCACCGTACGAGGTGCGGCGGCTCATCAACGAGTATGACCTCGACAAGGAAGGCTCGCAGGGAAGGGGCAAGCTGCAGTTTGAGGAGTTTCAGCAGGTGAGAATTAGAGGGAATTTATCGTGAAAGTCGTCATAGTAGATGGTGTAACATTGTTCCAGGTTGTCACGTTACTTTAAAACTACTTTCGCTTGTCAGACTATTGTTACGTTGTTGACAACTATATGAACGGAATAGTATTACTATTAGGCACAGAACAAACACTGAAAATTTACTTTGGTTCTCAACTTCTGGCGGTTGTTTGAGAAAATGCTCAGTGGACAATGTACTAGTAATGTGTTACAACTTGATCAATTCATAATGGTGAGTAATGGAATTAATTGTATCTCTCAGCTGTGCATCAGTCTGCGCTCCAAGGACATTGCCACGAAATTCCGCAAGCTGGTTACGAAGCGGACGAACCTGGACACCCTCAGTGGTATGTCGCAGGCATCGGCCGAGGGAACGACGCACTCTGTGCGCCACGAGGAGGAGGTAGCCTTCTCTGACTGGATAAACACGTACGTGCGCTTGCATGCTGCTGACTAGTTGCTGTTGTACAGCAGAGCAATCGTCCGTATTCTGTATCTTTTCTCTGTGTGATTTTAAACATTTGCTTGAGGTGTGGTAATGAATGGGCTTGTTGACCATTGGGATCATGGAAAGATTAAGAACTATTGTATAAGTATAATATTCTAGTATGTCCATAGAGGGCACCACTTACCTATGCTGTGTTAAGTCATGCCTGTATACCTTGAGTGTTCACTGATACATAAGAACATTAGTTACGCTTGTCTTACGTCTGTGACTGTACCTTTTGTGCTAAAATTTGTTCCCCTCTCCTTTCAGAAACCTGGGTCATGACCGTGATGTGGGTCATCTCCTACCAATAGATGCAGATGGCAAGAGCTTGTACGCAAAAGTGAATGACGGAATACTTCTTTGGTAAAGATAATATATGCATTGTACCATACTTTATACATTATAACATTATAAAATTGTACATATTTAAAAGCTCTCCAATGCCAATCAGACGGGTAGCTGCCATACGCACCAGTCCATTTGTCCCGTACACTACACTGTCCAGTCTCAATCGAGATATTGGCTGGTAATCAAGTCGGAAACGAGTTCTGGGGAAAAAAACATTCTATGACTGGAAAACTGCTTGTTGAATAATCAAACCGATAGTATAATAACATTAAATACCTTAACCGGGCTCTTACATTAGCCAGGATCACAGGCATGGTGCGTGCAATTCTCTTTGCTTCTCCCAAATATTTCTCCAGCATTTGGCACCCGTTACGTTCAGTACGAACATTCAAGTTTTAACGTTCGAGTACGTTCCACTGCCGAACCCATTCGGGAAGAACAGCCTAAAAAGTCGACCGCTTGCCTCACAGTAAGATCATCAACCACTCGGTGCCAGAGACGATCGACGAGCGCGCGATCAACAAGAAGAACCTGACCATCTACCGCAAGCACGAGAACCTGGTGCTGGCGCTGAACTCGGCATCGGCGATCGGCTGCAACATCGTCAACATCGGCGCCGCCGACCTCGAGCAGGGCAAGCCGCATCTCGTGCTCGGCCTCGTCTGGCAGATCATCAGGGTGAGTGCGCTGCTGCTGCCGCTGCCGGCGAGCCCGCCAGGGGGCCGGGAGCAATGTTCCCTCTAATTATTAGTAGTCAGTGTGCGCAAAAATCTTATGTTATCACTGAATTGTTGTGCAAATGTAAACATGAAATAGTTTCAAGATAATTTTGGCACAGGCTATCTCTCATGGCTAATAAAACTGTATTGGCATGTTTTAATATAATACAAGTATGATTGCATTCTATGAAGTACGGTATTTAGTTAAGATTTTATTCTATACTTTGAACTACTTTGTTCAGTTTGTTGTTCCTTTTATTTTACTTTTAGGTAAATAGCCTTTTGTGTACACATTAATTTCCTTTGTGCGCTGGTTGCAAAATGTGTGTGCGGTAGGTCAGCTTAGAGGTAACACTGGCGGGGGAGCAGGGCACGCCAAGCGGCGCTGCACGACGTGAAGCGCGGTTGTCCCTGCAACGCGTTGTCATCTCGCGAGGCCGCATAGATTGCTGCGCGTGAGACGAGCAGAATCATGCACGGGGAAGTTCGCGGTTATGTCCGAGAGATGCCTCTTAGTAATTGCAGTAACGTTGCCATTTGAGTGTGTTCAAGCTACGTTGAATGTCCTGTTAGGGCAAATTTGGTGAAGCTAATTAGAGAAGGCTGGAAGACGGAACTGGTGCAGGGTGGGGATGTGACAGCGATGCTGGTTACACGTTTCAGATCGGACTATTCAACCAGATCGATCTTCAGCACTGTCCTGGCCTCGCTGCTCTTGTACAAGATGGAGAGAGGCTGGAGGACATGATGAAGCTGTCTCCTGAGAGCATCCTCATCCGCTGGGTGAACTATCACCTGGAGAGGGCCGGCGTCAGCAAGCGAGTGTCAAACTTCACCTCAGACATCATGGTAAATGTCGTGTCGTGCGATTCTTCTGCGTTGTTACAGTCGCCGTGTTTTGCTATGGAGTCGGCTGTCGTTGCGCATGTTTGGCCCTCAGGCCATATGTTTCTGCGGTTGAAATAGCATGTAAAAAAGTTGTGGAATTATTTGCAGATTATTGTTGAGATTAGTGAAAGGTATAGTTGTAAGGCTTTTTGAATTGCAGTTGCCATTTTATCGCAGGGAATTTTAAAATGCTTACTTTGAGAAGCACACACAGTTTGCTTGCTATTGAGTATGTGACAAGTCACACACCCAGATAAGGCATTCATGTGGACTTTACTGTTGTTATTCATCTGCGCAGCCTGCAAGGATTTACTTTTCGACATGACCTAAATGACCCCTATTGAAAGCTGAAATCACGTCAAATCCATGTGCTTTCAGTTTTAGACACATCCCTTGTGACCCCCATTGAGAGCAGCAATTTCATAAAACCTGTTTACACTCTCAGCTGCATCCTAGAGTCACACGTTTTACAATAGTACTGCTGTTTGAAGTTGCCCCAATGTTTATGCAGTTTGCGTGTGCTCGCTGGCCTAGCAAACGTTTAGCTTTTATTGTATAGATATGGGATTTCCAAATGCCTGTGGGTGAAGGTAGTGCACGTTGTATTGTATGAACGTCAACTAACAGTTTATATGAAGAAAGGTGCGTGTGTTTGCTCAATATTTGTTGTAAAATGTTTATGGGGATCAAAATAATTGTGGTTTACAAGATTTGTTTTCACCTGTACTTGTAGTTGATTCCTTTCACAGTCCTACCCTCTACCCTTATGCAGTGAAATAAATTCTCCGGTCACTAGTCCAGTTTGGATCGTAGTCTGTGATCCACAGCAGTGCTAGTTCTGCTGCAGTGGTCTGCCGTGGATATTTCTTGTAATGGGTGGGGCAAGGCACAAAGTTATGGTGAAGAGGCGAATTACATTTTATGAAACATTGGATCACTTTAGAAATGTAAGGACTTTAGCCACTATTGTATTACGTGATGTGCATCTTCGTAAAACTAGTGTGATATTCATATGGTGAATTGACCACAAACGTTGTTTATGTGTTTGTGTTACAGGACTCTGAAGCGTACATCCACTTGCTTAACCAAATCGCACCAAAGGAGGCTGGAGTGACTACAACTGCTATCCATGTACGTCTCTCACAATTAAGTTGACACTTTATATGAGTATCTTAATTTTTACATCTTTACTATTCAGTTATTTACCAAGCGGCTTGGCGGTTTATTGTACACTTTTAGATTTAGTGCTGTTTACTGCTGTGCAGTGTCTGTGAGTATGCATGTATGTGTGTAATTTTTAATGAGCTTATTGTGAGAATGTTTATGCTATACTCTACAGGAGACTGACAAGTTGAAGCGTGCTGAATCAATGCTGTGTGAGGCAGACAAGATCGACTGCCGAGCATTTGTGACCGCACAGGATGTTGTCAGTGGCAACAGCAAGCTTAACACTGCCTTCGTCGCAAACTTGTTCAACATGTACCCGGCGCTCGACAAACCTGAAGACATTCCTGACTGGGAAATGGAGGGAGAAAGCGCAGAGGAGAAGAGTGAGTGTGCTTGTGTTACATACCAGTGTGATTTACTATGGCTAAATATATGCGTGCACTGGCCAAAAAGGTCTGTGAGGCGGTAAAATTTCTTTCTATGTGTTTGCATGTTTTTTGAGGTCTTAGCAAAGCGAGCACCGCAGGTGATTGTCCAGCTAGGGGGATCCGGGGAATTCTTTGAAAAAATGATGCAATTTGATGCATTCTAAGCTATTTTGGTACTATAAGCACTGACTGTTATATGGAAGAACTGTGATTTTTGTCAGCGAGACGGTGTTTTGGACAAATTTCTGTGTGGCGGCTGAGAATTTTAGTGAGGCGGCCCGCCTTCGTGTTCGCGGCGCTAGTGTCAATGCAGGGGAAACACTGTGTCTTGTAGATTTTTGTTCAGGAATTATTGAGAGTTGTATTGTAACCATGTGCATGTAGCGAATATTATAATTTGTGTTATGAGTTTATTTAGTAATAACCCTGTATTGACGTAATGACCATATGTGACTATATTCACATGCATTTGAATGACAAATAACAATTGGGCACGGAAGTAATAATGCATCATTTTTCCTGTAGCGTATCGCAACTGGATGAATAGTATGGGTGTGAGTCCCTATGTGAACTGGCTCTACAGTGACTTGTGTGATGGACTCATCATTTTCCAGGTGCGCTATAATCTAAATGACTAGTAAAATCAAAACCTTCAATAATTAAATGAATAATTAAGTATTTGAATAATTATTCTTACATCATGTTAACGTCTTGAGTCATTATGTCTTAATTGATGTGTCAATCTGCTCATGATATCTTCACGTAGGGTTTCTCTTTAAATTCTGTAGACGAGGCCTTACATTTAACATTAATTATCATTTTCTTTTGTATTGCTCTCTGCCATTAGTTGTATGACATCATCAAGCCTGGCATCGTCAATTGGAATCGTGTACACAAGAAGTTTTCCAAGTTGAAGGCCTTCATGGAGAAGATCGAGAACTGTAACTATGCTGTCGAGCTGGGAAAAGAGCTGAAATTTTCCCTGGTTGGTGTTGGCGGCCAGGATCTCAATGAAGGAAACCAGACACTCACACTAGGTACTTACTTACTTATTATCATGTGCATAGGACAAGTATGGTCATGGTAGCATGGCTTTAAAATCGAATATGGTTTCGAGTATAGAGTGTGAATCGTCTCATGTAACTCATTGAGATATAGTGCACTTGTAGGTGCACTGCAGGGTGGCAGTGAGGACTGGAACATGATGCAATTCTGATCTGTTGCAGCGTTGGTGTGGCAGTTGATGAGGGCATACACTCTTAGCATCCTGACTCAGCTGAGTGGAGCTGGCCACCCAATCGTAGAAAGGGAAATCATTGTGTGGGTCAATAACAAGGTAATTGCTGGCACCCGCATAATTCCCGCAAAGGCTAAAGTCATAGAGGTCACAAAATGACTGCTATAAAAGAGAGACCACATTATATGGGTATTTAGTAGCTTTAACATTAAGGTTTCCTTTTGTAGATATTATATATTGCTGTTTAATATTATTAGCAGAAAAAACTCTTAACACACAGCTTCATTGTCAAATTGATTCCATGGGTGTTGCAATTGTTATGCCTTCATTGATTTCAGTTGAAATCCAGTAACAAGAAGTCATGCATCACAAGTTTCCAGGATCCGAGTATAGGTAATGCGCGGGTCGTGATTGACCTAGTCGATGCGATCAAGCCAGGCTCCATCAACTATGACGTCGTCAGGAGTGGTCTAAGTGAACAGGTAGGGTGGATGTGTACATGTATGTGCGTGGGGTAGGGTTACCTGCAGAGAGCTAGGGTATTTCTGTGGAGAGGAGTAGAACCTGTATGTATGCTATCAGGAGTCTATCAATAGGAGTAAGACCATTTATAGGCCATGTCGAATGACAGTAATGACATGTTATGAACGATATTGTTAAGAAAAAATAAAATAGATAAAAATACTAAAAATGTGAATTTTTTTATTTTTAATGTAAATAGTATAAATAACACCAAGTCGTGTTTAACTTTCCGAAATCCCTGGCAAACCTCGCTAGTTGTTTGCATTGCTATGCGATAGAGGGCTTTCAAAAGCATTGCCCTTTGTTTCGGTTCACAGTTGTTGAAAATGCGGTATAAATTGCAAAAACCACATTGTACGTTTGGACCGATATCTCCCGATTTGTCATTTTTGTGAGACCAACGATTAGACACGGAATTAGTTTAATGATTAAGGTAAGATTTGAGCTCAAGTTTATCGAGTTAAACACAATAAATCATAGGTAGACTAAGGCAACTAAATGTTGAATTTTGCCGGTTTCAGTCTGTCTTACTCCTATTGATAGGCTCCTGATGCTATGTGTATGTATGCATGTATGTATGGGTATGTGTGCTTATGGGAGGTAAAGGTTGCTTGTAAGTGAGGGGAGCCTACTTGTTGGCAAGATAGACCTTTCTTGTGAGAAAGATGTAGCCTGCCTACAGGGAGGTATAGGGTCTGTTTTTAGCTCAGCTTGACATCGTCAAGATGAGCTATTGCCATGGGGCGTCGTCCGTCGTACGACCGTCCGTCTGTCTGTCCGTCAACATTTGGCTACGGTCAACGATAACTTGAGAACCGTTTGACCCACATGTTTCAAATTGCATACAGTTGTTACTCCTATGGGAGAAATGTGAACGTCCTATTTTGGGGCACGCCAGTTGACCTACTTTCGAGCCACACCCACTTTTTAGCAAAAATGGAAATGGCCATAACTCAGTTCAGGTTCAACGAATTTTTCTCATTTTTGGTATGTGAATGAATAACGACTGGCCCCCAAAACATATCACAGGGGTTTTTATATTTTAAAAAAATTATGCAAATTAGGTAGATTTTGGCAATTTCACTATGCATTTCAGTGTCTGCCTACGGTCAACGATAACTCAAGAACCGTTTGACCCACATGTTTCAAATTGCATACAGTTGTTACTCCTATGGGAGAGATTTGAGCGTCCTATTTCGGAGCAGGCCAGTCGACCTACTTTCGAGCCACGCCAACTTTTTGGCAAAAATGGAAATGGCCATCTAGATACATTCGATTTTGTTAAATTTACCTACCTACCTACCTAATCATACCTACGTGTAATACTGTGTTTTAGATTCTTTGTTACAGTAATTTGACTGGAATATTTTATTACTTTTATTTGCGCGATAATCGAAAACCAAAATGGCGATCATTTAGGCGTAGCACCATCTCTCGCCCAGATTTCAGACTTTCAGATCTGAAACATTTATTTTCGCATCAAAACTAACCCTGAAACAAAACAGTAAAATTTCTATTAGTATAAAACGGGAAATAAGGACTTTGGATCACATTTCGGTCCTTCATAAATGAAACACATACCAAATTTTAAATATCATCTCCCTCTTCTATCACACCCAAGGTGAGCTATAGTGTCATTGACATTTTTATTTAATGCGAGATGAGGTGTACTTACAGGGGTTGGTAAAGAGAGGTAGGACATGCTTTATGGATCAGTAGAGCTTGGTTTCAGGGTAAGGGGGGCCCCTGCTAGGTGGGGGGGGGCTTTCATATATAGAGAGGTAGAGGTAATAGGAATTAGCAGTCTATTCTTTAGGAAGGATCTTAGTGGAAGAGTCTGCAGTTGGAGACCCTTTAGCTTGGTTCTAGGGAGAGAAGGGTGTTACCAGCATACCACATGTAGATTCTAATAACCTTTCTTTTAATAGGATCGCATGCTGAATGCTAAATACGCTATCTCGATGGCAAGGAAGACTGGTGCCAAGGTATATGCTCTGCCAGAGGACATCGTCGAGGTCAAATCCAAGATGGTGATGACCGTATTCGCTTGCCTCATGGGCCGTGCTTACATCCCTTCCACAGGCACCGTGGTTGGCAGCAATGGAACAAACGGGCAGTAGATGTGGTTTCGTCAGGTGTTGGATCACCTGTGTCGGCATGCAATGGCACCAGAACACTTTTTCGTGCACGTGTCTGTGTGCATTAACTCTGCTCTATATTTCAATGTTATCTTTGTTTAGTTGTTTAAACGGAGGTTTGATATTCATTTTCATTTAGTATTGCCCATGACATGGCCACATGCCCATTTAGAATAGAGGAAGCTCTGTAGTGTGGGGCAACATCACCACCATCGCCTCTTCAATTTTTGTCTCAGCACAATAGGAAATCAGTAAATTTGGTGTATATGTTGTCACTACAGTAAGGATAAACAGCCAACTGATAAACATTCCAGACGGGTAAATGCATTGAAGAAAATACATCGATAGACCATAAACAAGCATTCCAACTCTTTTTAAATGCACTTGGTTGTAGTAACGATATACACCGATGAATCATTTTGTAGTTGGGATCAAATAACGCGAGATGCCTTGTGATGATGAAAGGTTCAATTCTAAAAAATAGGCGAGCTGGTTGTTTATGAGCATCACATATTGAATGTGTTTTTTAGTCACAGTTTATGGGAATTATGTGTGTAAGAAATCGACCAATTAATATCCAGTGTTGTGTCTTGTTTTGCAAAATCCTATTTAAAAAAATTTGTTTATATTCCGTCATTTTATTGTAGAAAAATACTTGAGATTACAATTGTGTGTGACCGCTGGGCCTTTCATATATACCATATATTGGAATAAAATATACTATTAACTAAACCCATTGGAGTAGCATCACTGAGCAAACAAAGTTTTTAATTATTTTACCGCAGGCCTTTGGGCTACTGGACATTCTGGTAATGTTTGATGAGTCGTTATTGTGTGTAGTTTGTGAAAAATACTGTTGGTTGTGCTGTTGTTTTTATATGAAAACGTGTTACATTATTGTTAGCCTTGCTTACCGTTTTCGCATTTCGAATTTTTAGATACCCACTTCAACTCCCTGTATTATTCAGCGTTGCCTTACTATATCTGCTCAGGCTGGTAGTATGTGTGATATCTACATACTGCCGTATGTTATCTTCATTCTGAACTGCTTGTGATGGTTGCAAGCAATGCAACCATGTCCTCTGTGATGAATTGGCTTTTATCGTACAAGTGTTGTGCCTAAATGATAAACGTCTCGTACGTGGGTCTAGAAAGCCTAAGAATATGTTACTGAGGTACATATTTTCCATTGCATTATAGTTGTTTTTCAAAATAAACAGCGTGCCACGGACGATAAGCCGCTCAGTAGCGGTATTGTGAAACTCTGTGTCAAAAAGGGGAATTTTTATAGAAATTTCCAAAGCAACCCAAGTGAGTAATCGGGTAACAGTTAATCTATGCATGTTCAGGTTAGTGACTGCAGACGATGATCGTTGGGTTGTTGTAGCCATGTTGAACTTTTACACGATTATTCATAGAGTGCGTTGATGTATTTTTCTCTTACTGACACCCCGCATTTATAGAATTAGGTAGTAAATGGTTATCATGTTTCGGTTATGAGCGTGAGCGTTTTCGCTGTGTACTTACACGTTAGATATTAAGAATGTTATATTGTCTTACAGGTACACTCGAACTCTTTTAAGGAAATCAGTTACATATATATATATATTATATACAAACAGACTGGTTTTATAACCATATTCCATGAAAAACGTACATAACTTTAATTCGCCGTTAATTTGCTATGAAATAAAGTGAAATATCGTTATTGTAAATATGCCTCAAGTTCTATTTGAGTTTGTTGGGCATTGGTTACCTTTAGGGATTCATTGGTCATTTATTGCGCGTTCAACCTTTATTATTACGTCCCATGGCAATTTTATTACAGTTACCCGTCACTTTCTGCCTGTCTATGGCTATACGCCTTTTCGACATAAGCTATGCTTGCGATACTTACCATATACGGTGTGCACAAGCGCCGATGCTATCATTTCTACGTATTGTAAATACACTGTACAAGCACTGGCAATGTTAGTCCGTTTATGGACTATATTTACAGGTAGCAATGGCGCTACACAAGTTGTTTGTTTCTAATTACTGGCGAAATAACGCGAAACTACGTCAAACTAACTTTGGTTCATTTCTCGTGAGTTTTCGATTAACACAACGTCAACACGCTCGACGTGCCATCTCGCCTAGCACAGCCCGAGTGATTGTTGCCTTACTAACCAGCCGCATTCCAGCAGCCAGGTAGAAGTACGCGCCGCTCCAAGACACAGTCATGTATGTATGCACTGCTTTACCATATAGACATTGTGTGCATATAGTGTCACAGTCGAGTCGGACTAGTCATCGCACTGGATCGAGGTGCCGTATTTAACCAACCAAAATCCGTAAAACCGTAATCCAACCAAAAACGGCGGTAATACAGCGGTAATAATCTTTATCAACATCAGCTTAACTGGAGCTGCGAAAATACAGCATGCAGTAGTAACCTTAAGCAAGCTTAGTAGCAAGCATAAGTAACCTTAGCTTAACTAAAGCTGCAGCACTAGGTTAACTGGGGCTGCAGCAATCCAGCTTGCAGTTTTAAGTAACTTCAGCTTAACTGGAGCTGCGATAATACAGCATGCAGTCTTAAGTAACCTCAGCTTAACCGGAGCCTACAGCGTGCAGTCGTAAGTACTGCTTAAGTACTGCTCCAGTAAGGCTTAACTGGAGCTGGAATTGTGCAGCATGAAGTTAGCCATGGCGGCGGGACTGCGCGTCGCCGCCGACGCGCTCGCCGACTGGCGCGACGATCGGCCGACCTCGCGCTTGAAGATGGGCATGTTGAGGCTCTGCTGGGCGAGGTGCGGCGGTCGCTCGACCTCCGAGTCGGACAGCTGGCCCGGCAGTCGCATCATCATGAGCCGCGAGCCGTCGAAGCTCGACCTGCGGCTGTTGATGCCGGAGCTGTAGCCGGAGCGGTAGGCGATGACGATGTCGTCCATCGTCGGGTGCGGGTTGCCGCTGGCGAGCGCCGTCGACATCATGATGTCCTCCGTGGAGAAGGAGGCGCTGCAGCGGCGCGGCCGCCCCTGCCGCACGCGACTCGAGATCGTAGGAATAGGTGTCATGCCGATGTCGGGCCTGACCTGTCGCAGCGAAAAACATATATATATAGGGGGATGTGATTGATGGATGGATGGATGGATGGATGGATGGATGGATGGATGGCCTGGATGGATGATGGATGGATGGACTGGTGGATGGATGGATTGATGATGGATGGATGGATGGATGGACTGGATGGCATGGATGGAATGGATGGATGGATGGATGGATGGATGGATGGATGGATGGATGGAATGGATGGATGGGTGGATGGATGAATGGATGGATGGTGCTGGGTGGTGGGTGGATGGATGGACGGACGGACGGACGGACGGCCAGACGGAAGGACAGAGGGACATACAGACAGATAGATAGATAGATACGCGCACGCACTCAGCGTGCACGTACGCAGACAACATAGGTTCCTACATAGACACACACGTATGTGCAGATGCATATGTATACTTTGTAGACGATGTACACTGTTTGTGTATGTGTGTACAATGTTTAAGTTTACTAAGTTTCATGTGTTCATAATATGATTTTTACGGGGAGAAGAGGTCTGCACAGATAACAATCTGCAGCAACTAGACGCGAACATTAGACGCTGTTCTTGGTTAACCGTGAGCAATTTCGTTTATATAGGCATTGGTGTGGCTGGCGTTTTTTTTTGCTACAAAGATATTGAAGAGCTCAAGGTTTCCCAACCAACCATTCGGCTAGAAAACGGTTCCAGAGCACATAGAAATATCATCTCGGCTAGGCTGCATAATAATGGGGTAAGGGCATCATCGAATGATTGAGTAATTTGATTATATGATTTCTTGCCTTTCTTTGGAATAGCATCGGATTTTCGAATATGTCGTACTGGTCGGACGTGTGCGCGTTCGATTTTGCGGCGCCATCTAACGTCCGATTGCTGCCGCGCGCGCCGTGGTTGCTATTAACTCCTGAGAGACGCATGGAGGCGTGGCTGGCAAGCGACGATTCGCTGGCGTGTCGACGCAGCTGGTGCTTCAGGAACGCCATCTGAACTGGCCAGGGCGACACCTGGGTGCGACCTCGGAACTTGCGCTTCTTTCGTTTTCGCGTTCGCCGCGCTATTTCGCTGAGCTGTGAATCCATCGAGTAGTTTCTGTCATTGAGATCTGCAAGAAACAAATACATTGTGATACATCGAGTATGTTTGATGTTCCCCTAACAAATTCAATCTCTGGTTATTAGCTTGTGCCTTTGGCCCATCTCTGGTTTCATTTAAATACCAGATAACTGCTGGTACGGTGAACACGCCTCATGCGAGTAAACCTAACTTGGCAGTTTTGGAGTTTATTTACATCGCAAGGTATATCATGGTTGTTTACACTAACAAATCTGCACATCTCATGTCGGTTCGATCGCACGCTAACGCTATGCGCGCATCGCCGTAAATAAATGTATAATGGTTCTAATGAACACGGTTCTAATGAGCGACGGGCCGCTGAGGAAAGGTGAGGGGTAACTTGCCTGACTGTGACGACGCGTGCATTATGGCGCGCGGTGGTGGGTGCTGTATGATAGCACCTCTACGCTTGAGCAGCCGCGGAAGGGCTGCAGCCACCCAGTTGGAGCTCACCTCCTGAGACATCTCACGCATCTCAAAGTTCATACCTCAAAACAAAATATAACTATTGTGATCAGCCCGCTCGCCCGTGCTTCCTGCTCATTCCTGCTACGCGTGATTTCAAATGTCTTATTTATACGTTCTCGTTTTTGTGTTCTGTAGAATATAAGCCTTCAGAATATATCATAACAACGCAATGCTTCACAACAGACGTCTATCAGAGCATATTTCATCGTTGTATACTCCTCTGTAGTTACAATAAACCCCAGATTTCATTTTGTTTACCTTCCATTTTGGTAAGCCTAGTTTTCTAAGCGACTTTGCGTAATTGCAAAGATATATCTAATATGTTCACGACGATATTATATGCCCACGCGGACAGGACTATCTAAATGCTCAGGAACGAATACAGTTTTTCCTCGATGCCCGCACCGAACAGTAGTCCGCCTTACCAAGTGGATCATCGTGAGTGCTGTGAAAACTGATAGACATCCTCCGTGTGTTTCCTACTTGCTTCTTCTTTGCAAATGCTTTTGCGATCATTTTCTCTCTGGTCAGCCGAACCGGCTCATTCACTGGCTTTTTGAGTAACCTACATAAAGACGAACGTCATGTGTGTATCCGCATGTTATATCCTGCTATTGAAAGGGTCCGTTACTACAATTAATTATTGGCTCTCCAATAGGCGAAGATATACAGAAACACTTGCGACAGTCAGAGCAGCGTTTGTCTTATACCCGTAGCATACACCGTTATAGAAAGGAATGCAATCTAGTCGCTTGGAAACATATTGGTTGTAAATGAATGCGTAGCGTTTGTTGTTGTTGTTATTATTATTATTATTATTATTATTATTATTATTATTAGACAAATAATGTAAAATGTTAACTGCATGCTGAGTATGCGCATCCTGGCCCTTTTCGCATGTATATTATAACCTGCGATAATATCAGGAGTTAATAAAGACAAATTTGTCTTTATTAACCCCTGATAATATATATATAACTATTTTCTGGTGGTGAGAATACATAGTTTTACGCAGAATTACGATTAGCGCTGTGAATAAATGTGTTGTACATATATACACATACGACCACCCGATGAGACCGGACGGGGGAATATTCTCCATCAGCTAGCTATATATACCCGCCGTATATATAGCATGATATATATATATATAATATATATATATATTATATAATAATATATAATATATATATATATAATATATCAAGAGTACATAATAGACATCTATTATCACTCTGTGATATATATATATATATATGCCGCTACATATGCCATATTTACCGGCAGAAGAATCGCTTCCACGCGTCCACGGTAGACGCTGTCCACACCCAGCTGCTCATGAGCATGCCTGCACCGAACACCGACACGTGGTTGAAGTACGCAGCCACTATGCTCGGCCCGACTATTGCACACCGTGACGCACCGCTCGTGTTTGCCTGGCACCTGGACAGAGAGTCAGTATAGATGAGGGGGTTCTTTCTTTTTGATATAAAATGGTTAGAGTTTCAGCTATAGTTAAAGTGTCTCTCTAAGTAGGCATACCACGGAGGTCTATGAATTTCCTTCGTGACGGTAGGAATTAAGTGGTGATAAATTTACGTGAGGGTGAAAAGTGATGATAAATGCTTCTGAGGGTGGGAGGTGGTAAGATGGGGTGGCCAATACGCTTGATTGAGGGGGGGGGGTAGGTAAATGTAAGCAGAGTATGCTAACATTGCATGTAGATCAATATATGAATAAAATGGCATTGGATCGATCAACTTACACTAAGAAATCTCTGAAGTTTTTATTCCAGAGTTGTCGACCTGAATACTCGTAGATGTGGCAGCAGAACGTGATTAAAACAAACGCGAAGCTGCAGACGATGAAGACACCTGCAAATCATTGTCAGTCAGTACCAGTACCATAGAATTATAGCAATTTTACATAATGACAACAACACAACAACAACATTTGCATAGTTACATATAGTCACACACCTTTAACACACCGTAGATCTGATCTAACGTGGAAGCGCTTATAACGCCGTCAATGAGTTTACACTAATTAAGTTCTCGTTAACGCCTCTTTTTTTCTTTCTTTTTTTCGAGACGATGTAAATATCTTTCTACTCGGGTAGTTGTTGCCCAGTCTGATATGCGGAAAGTGCGTCATTTTGACCAGTTTTTATGTGAAATATTACAATGAAATATTATTATTATATATAGCGACTTGAATTGCGCATATCTATAAACTTGATATATTTCACCCGTGTTAGGATATCGGGTCTACAGTGTATGTTTTATAATGAGATATTAATCTCACGATCGTAAGATTAGCTTCGTTCCCTTACTAGCATCGTCATTTGTATGCGTATCATAAGTTCATTAATTAGTTAAAATAAACTATCCAATAACGTGAATATCGTTATATTACCTAATCGAATGATTGTTTCCTTAATTTTTGCGTTTGCCTTCTCACTGATCAGTCCTGGACTGTCCGTGTGAATTCTGCACAGAGTAACTAAGCCTACAAAATAATATGCATGGCATCGGTTTAAAGATATAAAACCGATTTATCACCTATAATCATTCATTCAAGTTACGTTTTGTTATTCATCCGCCTCAACGTATCTCAAATATAAAAACGCCTCAGCAATAAACAATTGTTATTGAACTCTATATCGATCTTATCGATCTACATATATCGCATAGACATCGCTGATATCTATGTGATCGATACGCGGCCGCAGAGCAACTATACAGTTGCCACTAAGCAAGGTAAGGTGACGTTGTACCTCTGATCAAAAAATAGCCTCCAAAGCACAGCATAAGCATCACGGGAAGCAGTACAAACCCTGTCCTCATGTACCAGGTGCTCATCCCAACAAAACATATTCCACTGAGAGAGTCACCGTCAATCTGAAATGTACCAAAATTTAGTTATGCTATTGGTACCTATAACCATGAAATGAAATATAATCTACATATTATAATACAGTATCTATATCTAGTCTATATACAGTATAATAGTACATGTTTTAATTTTTTAAATGCATGTCCTCGTGTTAAAATCGCTTTTCATTACACATCTTCACGCCAACCAATCACACCGTTTAGACAGATTTATCGCCCTTGTGATTATTAAGTGTAACACATGGGACCACTCTACGCAATGTTTGTAGTTAGCGGCTAATGCTCCAGCTGCCGCTGTTACTCCGGCTACTGTTGTTTCTGTTGCTACTGCTACTGGCGGCTGCTGCTAGCGCTTCGGCTACCGCCGCCGCCGCACCCCGCCGCCGCCGCTGCTGCCGCTGCTACTGTAACTGCTGCTGCTTTGGTTGCTGCCGCCTGCCGCCGCTGTGGCTGGGGTTGTAGCTACTAGTGCTGTTACTGCTGCTGTGGCTAAGCTACTATTGATGTTGCTGCTAGTGAAGCAACAACGAAATACTATTGCCACTGCCAGCATATTTTTTATGATCACTACTAATACTATTTTTTATTTATTTTTATTAGTAGTAGTAGTAGTAATAGTATTATTATTATTATTATTATTACTATTATTATTATTATTATTATTATTATTATTATTATTATTATTATTAATATCATTATCATCATCATCACCATAATCACAATGCACCAATATTATTTTCCCACCTCTGACAATGTGAGAATGGTGATGGTCAACACCAGAGGCACGCTCCACGAGAACATGTGAAAGTAAGCGGCTTTGCCTTCTATCACCTCCCTAGATGTTCTCAGCATCTTAAAGAATACGTGCCAGGTGTAGGCCAGCAGCACGAACCAGATGACAGCAGCCGTGAGGAAATAGTAGATGACGACGAACACGATGAGACACGACAGATTCTCTCCTCCGCTGAAACGCAGACACACACACATGTTAATTATGTGGCCGTCGCGCAGGAAATAGCTCGAGCGAGCTAAATATGGATTGTTACATCAGAGGGATGATGGTTGTGAGACGAAAAACATGTCGGCGAAATACCCTTGCTATTCACGCGAGGGTTGTTAAAACACGGAGTTTTGCACCCTGTATAGGCGCGTAACTGGGGTTATCATTCCTCGTGTAGGCGCGGCCACTCTTGTGCATGGTTTTTTTTACGTCACTGAGCCGTAAAATTCAGCCCCCTATTATTATCCCAACATCCCCCAGTGTTATATAAATCATCTTGAAATCATATATAGTGCCTAATCGTGGTGGCACATTGCAGGTTTATTGCAGGATTTTTTTTATCAGGATCAAATGAAAACAAACTCGTTTTTGTTCGCGCATCACGTATGGTACCATCGTTCTAACGACGAATTGTGTCTTTCGTCGCGTTTTATTATCATTGGAACAGATGTCGCAAGCGTTAAGGCGACACGAGTCAAATTAGATAATCACGGTGTATAATGGGTTTATTCCCGGTTGGCCTACTCCCATTTCGCTTACGGCAAAATTCCCATTTCGCCTACAGCAAAATTCCCAGTTGGCCAACACCCATTTCGCCTACTCCCAATTCGTCTACGTTCAAAATCTACCCCATTCCCATTTCGTCTATGATCGGGTTGTTCACTAAATAATCATTTATAAATAATAAAATATGGTTTTGATTGGCATACATAGACTACAGGAAGAAAATATAGGTACAAATAATGAGAACACAACTTGACAAAAATAGATAATACAGTAGCATAATGGGAGTAGGCGAAATGGGAATATTGCCGATTCTGAGAGTAGACGAAATGGAAATAGACGAAATGGGACGTAGGCGAAATGGGTGTAGGCGAAATGGGAGTAGGCCAACTGGGATGTTACCGTATAATAATGACTTTACAATCGCTATCAAACGAAGCATACCAAACTAGTTCTTACACGGCACGAAATTATAGAAATACTGCTGAACTATCGCGTTAAGTTAGTCAGAATCACGCAGTTCGATTATTAAAACATAATCGGCTAGCTGTGGCAATCTATATGGGTGTTATCGCATTACAACGTACTTGGGTTCCCCAAGGCGGCCAGTACCGTCACGTCTGCACACAATGTTGTCGCGAGCACCCGGTAGAAACTGGGCGAGCCAGGCGACTGTAGCCAACGCGAAACAACAGTTGATGTAGAAAATGCCCAGCGCCGGGTATCTGCTCGCATTCTTCCAATCGACGATGAACGTAAACTGCAATAAACACCGCGAGAAATTATAGTGTTGGGCACATTACCAGGATCGAATGAAAACAAACTCGTTTTTGTTCACGTATCACGTATAGTTCCATCGTTCTAACGACGAATTGTGTCTTTAGTAGCACTCCAGCCGTCTACAGTACTGTTACTAAAATACAAGAGACCTGCAACGAGTAATTATATATAGGCCTATATATATATATATATATATATATATATACTATATATATCAGAGGCGAGAGAGAGAGAGAGAGAAAGAGAGAAGAGAGAGAGAAGTGTGTGTGGTGTTGTTGTGTGTGTGTGTGTGTGTGTGTTGTGTGTGTGTGTGTGTGTGTGTGTTGTTGTGTGTGAGTGTGTGTGTGTGTGGAGTGTGTTGTGTGTGTGTGTGTGTGTGTGTGTGTGTGGTGTGTGTGTGTGTGTGTGTGTGTGTGTGTGTGTGTTGTGTGTGTGTGTGTCTGTGTGTGTGTGTGTGATGTGCATGAGAGAGAAGAGAGAGAGATGAGAAGAGAGGGAGAGCCAATATGACGAAAACAACACTGACTAAATATTGTAAAAATATAAAGGAATACAGAGCAGCAAGAGAAACCGACGAGTAACCGAGCTACACAGAAGACGGGAAATTGAGAGAGAGAGAGAGAGAGAGAGAGAGAGAGAGAGAGAGAGAGAGAGAGAGAGAGAGAGAGAGAGAGAGAGAGGAGGAGATCAGAGAGAGAGAAGAGAGAGAAGAGAGACAGAGAGAGAGAGATGAGAGAGAGAGAGAGAGAGAGAGAGAGAGAGAAAGAGAAAGAGAGAGAGAGAGAGAGAGAGAGAGAGAGAGAGAGAGAGAGATTTCACCGTGGCCATGCACGCACCGCGGCAAAAAGAGTGCAGGCGAGGCAGAGAGATCCCATCACGGCGATGAAGACGTGAAGCTGTCTATGCTGGCGCGTGGTGTAGAGTGGGTTTCGGCACTGAACACCGCAACCCTCCACGCTGGCGTACCAGTTACGCTGGCTGTCTGTCGGTAGCAATGGTGGACTACACTGACCCGTTGCGTTGAACTTGAACTTAGAAACTTCGTTCTGGCCGATATAAAAAGAGAAAAAAATATATTATAACGCAATCACGCCAATAAACCTAACCTGCAGACTTTGTGCGCAGTTGATAGGTTTATATTAATTACAGGCAGAATTGTAAGAGAACGCAAACACCCGCTGCGTGTTAATATAATGTTCCCGTGTTCCGCACGGCTTACTCGTCGTGTGTGGCCCGCGTGTGCGTAGGCCTATAGGGCAATAACAGACAAGCGTTCAGTCACTCGCATATGAGGAAAACTCACCGTGACAGCCGTTATAGATTGTCACGGCATAAACATATGAAAAAACCTGCCAACGCACGCTCTTGGAGTGACGATTGGTGGAATAAAAAAGCAATAGAATCGTAAAATTAAACGTTAAAATTTGATGAAATTTGCTCGAATTGCGAGACCATGCAGAGAGAAATAGATGAACTTCGCGAGCGTACGACAAAGGGATCGAACGTGCGCTTACTTGACAATGCGAGGGGAAGTTTTCGCATTGCAGGAAGCTCGGCCAGCGGTTGTGAGTCAGTTCGACGATCGTGCATGCGTTGTGTGCGTTCTCGCACATTTCTCGGCTCGGCAAATCCACCTTGTCGATCACGCACTTAGGCACGTAAACGGCACACAGTAGCGGCTGTATGACGGCCCAGCATTCTGGAACGCTTCTCAGCCCACTCCACAGCCGCAGACGACGCTGGGCCTCCTCTTGTGTGTCCACGTCATCAGCGATGTCCGTCGACGTTGCACCGTACAATAACTTCGCTCCGTAGCAGGTCGTGTAGTTGAGAGACTGGCAAGACACACCGCTGTGTTTACATGACTCGTTCGTCGTCTGGTTCGCGCCATCGCTGCCGTCTTGCGCTGAACTGGCGAGTATCACAGATAGGAATATTGCGGAGAGGAAAGTGACCGTCATCAGTCGGGATCTTATCTCACGTGATCGTTGATGCGACGACTACGATGAGTCCTCCGTTGATACGCAGACCGACCGTATTCTCCACTGAGATACTTGGAAAGTCGGCCATACTTCTGACTGCTTGTAAGGAGGAACCGCGCAGGCGGGCTCTGCTGTACCGGCCACCGTGCTGTGGCACACATGTGAATGGGTGTATTATTTCGGCATACCGTTCCGCTCCATTCGGCTGTCTGCGCGCTGTGGGGAAGATGCTTTAGCATAAACATTGGCGATGGCCCGGGACGACGGGATACGTGGTGGGTTTGGGGGCGGGGGGGGGGTGCACGTTTCGCAGCGGTTTCAAATAATATCTAATCATACATACATACACACGCACACACACATATACACACACACTCACACACACACACACACACACACACACACACACACACACACACACACACACACACACACACACACACACACACACACACACACACACACACACACACACACACACACACACACACACACACACACACACACACACACACACACACACACACACACACACACACACACAACAACACACACACAACTCACACACACACACTCAGCACACACCACACACACACAGCACAACACACACACACAACATACACACACACAGCACACAGCACGCACACACACACACACGCATACACACACACACACGCACACACACACACATATACCGCGTGCGCGCGCGCACACACACACTAACCCACGGCTGCACACCCACACGCTCCACGCAGCGCACGCAACACGTCGCCACGTTACGCACATACGGGATTCGCAATATAGAATATGAACTAGGACAATAAGACTGTGTGCGAATAATTATTAACGAATGCCATATTACGTAGGTATAGATTCAGTCTAGCTATTGCGTGTTTCAGTACACAAAAACACCCAGCCACACACACTACACACACACACACACACACACGACACACACACACACACACGACACACACACACGACACACGCACACGCGCACGCACACACATATACGCGTGCGCGCGAACACACACACTAACCCACGCGCACACCCACGCTCACACGCACGCACGCACACGCGCACACGCGCGCCACGTACACACATACGGGATCGCAAGTAATAGATTGGAATAGGACGCCATAAGAGCAACTTTGCTGCTGGAAATAAATTTAACGAATGCATTTACGTAGGTATAGATTCAGTCTAGCGATTGGCCGTGTTTCAGTACACAAAAACGCCCACGCACACACATACACACACACACACACACACACACACACACACAACACACACAACACACACACCACGCACGCAGCACGCACGCCGTTACACACAACACACAACACACACACACACACACAGCACACACATCAGCACACACACGCACACGCGGCACGCACCGACATGAAACGCGCTGGCGCGCGAAACAGCACACACCAACCACGCGCACACCACGCTCAGCACGCACCGCACGCAACGCAGCGCACAACATACACACAGCACTGGGCATCGCATTATAGTAGAATAGAATAGGACAATAAGAACTTGTGTGGAAATAAATTTAACGAATGCATTTACGTAGGTATAGATTCAGTCTAGCTATTGGCCGTGTTTCAGCTACACAAAAAACACCCACCGCACACACATACACAGCACACACACACACACAGCACACACACACACACACACACACACACACACACACATGTCACACACACACACACAACACCACAACACACACAGTCACACAACACCACACACACACAAGACACACACACTCACACACACACACTACACACACAGCACACACACACACGACACACACACACACAACACACACACACCACTACACACACACACACACACTACACACAAGCACACACACATCACACACCCCACACACCACACACACGCAACACACACACACGCACACACACACACACTCACACCACAGCCACACACACAAAGCATATACGCGTGCGCTGGCCGCACACACACACATATACGCGTCGCGGCGCACACAGCACTCTAACCGCACGGCGCACACCCACGCCTCAGCACGCACGCACGCACGCACACGCGCGCACGTACACACATACGGGATCGCAATATAGAATGGAATAGGACGATAAGAACTTGTGTGGAAATAAATTTAACGAATGCATTTACGTAGGTATAACAGATTCAGCTCTAGGCTATTGCGGCCGTGTTTCCGTAGCACAAAACGCCACGCACACACATACACACACACACACCACACACACACACACACACACACACACACACACACACACATACACGCGCGCGCACGCACACACATATACGCGTGCGCGCGCACACACACACCAACCCACGCGCACACCCACGCTCACACGCACGCATGCACGCACCCGCGCGCACGTACACACATAGCGGATCGGCAAATATAGAATGGGCCGAGATAGGACGATAAGCAACTTGTGTGGAAATAAATTTTAACGAATGCATTTCACGTAGGGTATGCGATTCAGTCCTAGCGCATGGCGCCGTGTTTCAGTACAGTCAGAAGGATGAAGGCGGCCACGCCACAACATACACACCCCCGTGCTGCGCACGCCACGCACGTACACAGCAACACACACACACACACCCACACACTAACACACACACACACACACACACACGCACGCACGCACACCCCCCCCCACACACACACACGCACACACACACACACACACACACACACACGCCCGCGCGCGCTCTCGCGCGCGCTGTACGACAGGAACAGCGCTTGTAAACACGTTTCACAAAATCGTTTTGTATAATGAAGTATTATGTTAGTGTACTGATAGTGTATATGAACAAAAAGTAGCATATCGCAACATAGCTCTACCGTTGCATGTAACTCCTTCGCTCCGTATAAAGGAGCTCTAGTAGCAGGAGCAATGGAACTAACCGGTTAGAACTAATCGTAATCCATTCCTATCAATGTCTAGCAGTTCTATTGAGACAAACAGGCTGGTAGTGGAGCTCTCAAGGGACTACTCATACACTATAGTGATAAGAAGGAGGCAGACCTACCTACTAATGCCAGCATATATCCGGTGCATTCACGTCAGTAATCAGTGAGGCGCAATGGGCCAATTAAGCTGCCGATGGCACGCAGTGGCGCGTCCGGCTCACTGTGCGCAGTTCCTTGTATATTAATAACTGGGGCTATACCGGATTCTCCGAATTTGTGATTACATTTTATTTTAGGCTAAAATACTCTGCATTGTAATAGGATTATTTCTACCGTTTGGTAATGCAACTTTTTTTAGAATATCTATAGAAATGTAGCCTGACATTCATACCATTTTTATTGTCAACGTTTCGTTGCTTGTCCAGACCCATATAATCATGTTCGAACTTTATTGGCACACGTGCAATTAAGAATGAACAACAGGCGGGTAGTAGCATCAAAAGCAAACACTTATTTTACAGACCCCTATGTTACATGTCATGCAACGTCTGCTATAATAAATTTCCCGTCTACGTGTGGCATAGGCATCAGGCCTGCAATTGACCGAAGATAACTGCGTGTAATGGAACCCCTATGCACGACTATTGCGCCTCACCTCAAAAATACATTATCCAGCCCGCGTACGCCGACCACACGGATGTCGGAGAACATAAATACATCGACGACGTAGTTAATGGAAGAAAAGTCACGGATGTATTAACATGGCCTCGAGCAGTTCAGGGCGTTGGCACTGCACGATACAAAAGGATCTCACGTGCGCACGCCGAATTCTAGGCAAAGCGCTTTCATCCGTAACAGGTAGCCGTGACGTATACGGGTCGTGTATATAAATATACGCAGGTGCCGTCACACCAACAGCAATCAACAAACGAAAACGAGATCGTCGTCAAGAAAGACTTTACCCGCAAGTACAAGTTTCTGGTAAGACCGACTTTTAGCTTTATATATGTTAATTGTTATATTGGTTATAGTCTTACACACACACACACACACACACACACACACACACACACACACACACACACACACACACACACACACACCCCCACACACACACACACACACACGAGCACCATTTCTAACTATATTCACGAATTCTATATATATAGAATATAATTATATCGAGCTATAGATATAGATGATGCAAGGCATATGACGTACATATAGTTCGTAATATTGGAAGGGTTTAGTGTTCTGTAATTTTGTTCTTCACTTATCCATACCTCTCCATTATTAGTAGTTCTTGCTGTTAATATACTATATTTGAAATTATATGTTCCTATATATATTTATACTTACCTGTACCTATTTTGAATTGATTTCAGAATCATGAAGACTTTGTCTGTAGTTGTGCTTTTAGGCGTTGCCCTTCAGGCTAGCGCTGTCGGATTCTTCGATCGCGTTCAGAGTAGTACGTATATAATAATATTTATATTTATATTATAGGTAATTATTATTAACTAAATCTTACCGGTAAACGTTCACATTGACATAAAACAAACTTCATCGTATAAATAACGCCGGTTTTCTATCGAATGTGCAATCGCATTATTTCAGGAAATTATTATTTTTGCAAAACGTCAGCCGTGTGCGGCGTCTAAAGACTATTTTCTGTTACTATAGACCGAAGTGTGAAAAGCGTTAATGAGCCTGTGCAAACATTTATTATATATATGTTTTTATTTTTTATCAGATCCGGATTCAAATCCCGCTCCACCAGTAAACCGACCTCCGCCCTTCACAAACTTTCCCCCAGTTACCAACCTTCCCCCAGTTACCGACCTTCCCCCAGTTACCAACCTTCCCCCAGTTACCAACCTTCCCCCAGTTACTGGAGGTTCTGTTGACCCAGGTGAGTGTACATTACATTCATATACCATCACATGCATTATTCGCGTATCGTTCTTTGTCATCATGTTTCATCATGTTACGTACTGAGCTTCTTAGCGCGTTCTTCTCATTATTTTAATTTGGCAAAAAATGTAAAATTCCTTCAAACCGAGTTGTATCTATGATTCGCAGGTACGGACTTCTTCTCAATTGACGAGAGCGTGAGGAGAATAGTAGCATTCAAGGACAAGGTAGCTCCCCCTGATACGGATCTATTTTCCATCGATGCGAATCCGGATGCTAATGAAGACGTTGACATTCTCCTGATGACGGATCGCAGTTACAGTGTCACACCGCAGGGATTTGAACAAGCTAAATGTGTCATGCGGGTAAGCTTTAAATGTAATCAAATGACTGATATCTCCGTTACGTACAATGTCATTGCTAACCTCGTTATCTATTACATTTATTATGCAGTAGCATGCTACACAACCAGTTTACAATTACAATATTAACAAATATGAAACTCAATAACACTCTCGATTAAATATTAAAAATAGATTACAAAGTACGCAGTGCAGAAATGTGATGCTTCAAGCGTTTAAACGTTATTATTGCTATAATATAATTTGTGTTTCAGGAATGGGCGCATCTTTTCCAAGACGACAGCCGCATACGAGCGCGAGTGGCGATGCTAAGCTTTGCTCGATTCCCAACTCTCGATTCACCGCTCTATTTCAAGACGTACTATTCGCTATCACAGGTCCTCGACGCCATCGACAACCTTAAATACTATAGGAGTAAGTAATTGACTATATCATATTAAGGAATATTTCATATACTCATATGTTCGCAGTAACTAAGACGGCGAAATGATGTGGCTGAATCAAGTAATCATGATTTTTAAACGGGATTGCATTACTATGGATTACTAACTATATATTTTATCGCGTGTTTTCAGCTAGCTCTGCTAACTATTGCTCACTAAGACAGAACCCGTACAACCGCCGCGCACCCTGGGTCAGCTTAGACGGTTGTGCTACGTGCACAAACTACGCCTTAGAGGAAGCATACAAAATATTCTTCGAATATGGAGAGTCTCGTCCCCACTCCACTAAGGCCATCGTCGTAATAACGGACGGAAAATCTAACTGTCCATCATCCTCGTTCACCTGCAGAGCGGCCCGTCAATTGCGATCTAGCGGTAAGTCAACAGCATACGTTAACCAGTCAATCGACTTTATTCTAAGCTATATGAAGTAGACTAGAATCATTAATTATATTAGCAAAGTTTTAGCCAGGTCAAAAATGTATATTATAAGACATATGGTAATTAGCTAGTCACCTAAATGAAACCAGTATGATCTTATCAGATCCTCTTAACCTTTCGGGTGTTAGGTATATCGTGTAACCTGATACAACTGTTCCAATTGTATATTTGGTCCACTCGATAAGTTCGTCTCTGTATAAAACCCCTTTACCGTAGACGATTGCACACCCGGCTACATTTTAGTTTTGATACACGTATATAGGAATGCCTTATTTACTTTCTTGCAGGCGTTGACATCTTTGTTCAGGCGGTTGGCCAAAAGGTAGATGCTAGCGAGGTCAGGTGCATGGCTACCGGGAACAACTACAATCTTAACAAAGACTATTCAGAAACCTGCAGCATCACATCCTTGGCAAGGGAGGTGGGAGCCAAACGATATGTTGCATAAAAGAAATGGGGTAACCGCGTATGGCATACTACATGTGTTTCATATAATGTACTCTCGTATTTCATGCAGATTTGAAGATCGCATTCTAACTATAATCTTATTATGAGCTACAATAATTACTATGCTCGATAATAATATATTATATTAAGTTATGTCAACTTACGTTGCAATATTTATACTTAGGTAGTTGGTATATAAGAGATATAGAAAAATGTATGATTAAAAGGATATTATTTCGCACAAAAACAAAACATTAAAATGTGACAAACTGAACCTGCTTATACACGAAGAATAACGACATGGTTACGTCATGGTAATTTTTCATAGATTCAATCCAACGATATTACCAAAATAAGGTATCGTTGTTACATACGTTACGCAAGCAGTAGTAGAAGAGGAGACCGAGTAACACGAGCAACGGGTAAACACAGCAGTGAATCAACGTGCTACAAAAACATAGCCCGGGTGTAAAATATCTATGTAGTAAGCACAAATTATACTGTTGCAGTTAACCACTTATACGCAGATTCAAACGTTTGTTTTTGATACGAAAAAAAACACAAAAAACTAGTGAGTATAGACATTATACGATTAGTCAACTCTAAATTATTAGTCGTCAGTTGTGATATACACGCGCGTAGATGCGCAGTATTAAAATCAGAATAGTTTCTGGTCATTAATTGAAGTGGTGCCCTGTCACTGATAATGACAAAGGGGTGACGGTTATTTTAATATCATGTACGCTCGATTTTCATCTATGATGATCGTGCATTGAATGTCGTCTGTTTATATGTGCCATTTGTATTTTTCGGTTGATGTATCCAATACAATTTTCCTCAATAAAAATGTGTCAACAAGGCAAAACGTACGCTTTACATATATATGCTATGTCAAAGAAGTTATTGATATTCATCTCGGTTACGTTTACAACGAATGTAAGATATTGCGAATTAAAGCACGTAATAGTCAACACAAAAAGTTCGTGACATAACATATATTTTGTCAACCACATACTAATTTTAAATGTAAAACAAGCTAATCAGGGACCTTCGCCGCTCAACGGCTCCATATAATCAATTCTCTTAGAAATTTCATTAATTCATTTTCAATAATATATTATTATTTTAATTCAATGATATTAAATGCTGTTTTTACTTAAATTTCTACAACCGAATCTACACAACGAAGCTGAAAAACGTGCAGGACAACAGCCTAACAATATCTCGTTGTCTAGATATTGTAGGTTAGTCTGCGAATACATTTATGATTCAGCACCTGAAACGAATTGTACAAAGATCTATACAGACTAGCTGAGGTTTCTCAACTCTAAACGTTCTCAGGCGAATTTTTGAAGTATCGTGAATATATCTGTATTCGCGCATGCTCAGTATCTGCCTTACTAAATATTAGTTGGTTGACATTATTCATTAAAATGTACAAAACACATAGGCCTACTTATGAAGAATTTGGTATCAAAATTGCTCATCGCACTCTCTGACTTTAACAATTATAAGGCGCCTAATCTTCCCGAATTGCGCTATACTGTAAAATAGTGTAAATCTGTGTTCGCGCATGCCCTCAATTTGCGAAAAGAAATATAGGGCCTATTTGGTTGAAATGCGCCCAAATAACGCTGAATGGGTAGTTGTCGTATAGGGTACTACATATATGTACCCTAGGTACATATATATATATCAGGAGCTAATAATGACAAATTGTCATTATTAGCTCCTGATATATATGTATACATAAATGTACACATTTGATACATAATGCATTAATAATAATAACCCTAAGTAACCCTATTAAATGTGTACATTTATGTATACATAATATGTACCTCGGGTACATATATGTAGTACCTGATACGACAACGACCCTTTCTGCCCAAATAACAGAACCCGCCCCTTGCATATGAGCGATGTATGTGAATCTGGGTATGCTCACATATACTCGTATATATTGGTTATATTTAATAAAAGGCTCGACTGCATATTCTGGGAGATCAATTTTGGCTTTAGTATATATGTTGAGTTCAGACTGTTGGTCTCCGAGGTTCACGCCCAATAGACGTGAGCCAAACCGGTAACATTCCATATAACCGTGTCCCCGCATTCGAGGCCTGGATAGACAGTACCCTGCGGCATGGAAAACAATGGGCGTCTCATACACAGCCATTTATTACAAAAACCTCGCGTATTTTTACAAGCTGACAGTGAATAATCACCTATTGACGCAGGTAGATATATATACCTACTTCTGGGAATAGGTGGGATCGTAGCCGTGCAACTATTCGTACGTGTCCCAGCTTCACACAATAGTTGTGCGTAAACAACCGAAAAAACTCCATTTCAGTTCGTGTAAGAAGTTGCTTGGAGGTTCACAAGTTGTGCAGGAAACTGTTCTAATCCAAGTTCCACCCCTAACGTCTAGAACAAATTTGACAATGTTTACAACGGAAAAGGCTCAACTCAAGTATTTTTATTTGAACTGATATGAATCTGAGAAAAAGGCATAGAAGACCAAATGTCAATATAAAGGCCTGCTTTTTTATTAATATAATAACACTTTCGATATGCAGATTGCATTTATCAAAAAGATATAACGCTTAGCAGACCAACAGTATAATGCTAGCTTCATATGCGGCTAGACGTTATATAGAATTTGAAATAAAGAAATAAGTTTTTTTCTCAAGTTAAGAAAAGAACGTGTTTGTACTGTAGGGAATGTCGGCATCACATAATAATATCAGGAGTTAATAAAAGACAAATTTCTTTAAAAGACTGCCTTTTATTAACTCCTGATAATATCTATATTGACATAATTATCGGCAAACAGAATACAACTTGAAATCTAGAAAATGGAAAAATTTACAGCATTTCATAATACGGAATAATGAAACAGGTTTATTATAAAAATACTACTTGCTATTTCTCTCCACAATTATTACAATACGGCTCCCATAAATGAATTAAATACTACATATTAATGTCATCACTGAAATGACATAGTTTAACCAAATCACTAGTGTTCTGATACTGTACAAACAAATAGTTAACAAATTAGAGGTGAGCATAACAGCCCGTTCTGGGCATGTCACCTACGTACCACTATACTTATTATAATCCTAGCACATATCAAGCTGTACTATGCAAGTACTATTACCTTTCCATGTGCAGCAATAAATCCAAATACTACATAATCGATGTCCACTCCTCATGGAGATATATGCCAGTTGACACATGACAATAAATCATTTACACTCTTTCACAAAACGTTAAATTCTACTAAACTCCTGCTCTCTCAAACAGCAATCAACTGTACATAACTTTAAGGCAAACACGGAGTAAACTGCTACGCTGTACAATCGCCGTTATGGCCGACGTCTACTCCGCCGCCGACAGCATCGCAGCCGACGAAGAAACTCCTGTCGCTTACGACAGAAACTCCTTCTCCACGGCCGCAGCCATTTCCTCGTCGACGGACCCGATCGATTCGACCTCGCCTTCCTCCCCGCTCTCGGACTCCTCCTGTCTCAGCCGCTTGCTGCCTCCGTCGTACTGCCCATCGTTCGTGTCATCCTCCCCCTGCGTCATCTGGAGCACGTCTCCGTAGTCGCCGGCCGAGTCGTCGTCGTCGTCGTCGTCGCGCTTGCGCTTCCAGCCGCGAGGATACTCGGCGGTCAGGCTCTCCTCGCTTGAGGAGGACGCGTCAAGGTCGTCCCGCAGCACGTCCGCGACCCGCGCGACCCCGTCGTCGTCATCGTCGTCGTCGTCGCTCAGCTCTCCCTCCTCGGCCTCCTCGTCGGTCGCGTCGCTCACCTCCTTGTCCATCTGCGCGAGGTCCTCCGACGAGAGCGTCAGCAGCGGGTTGTAGTCGAAGTGTGATGCGGCCGGCGGTGCCTGCTTGCTGCCGGTCTTTGCCTCGCCGCCGCCGGAACCCTCGGGTTTCCTCGTGAGCAGCGGACTGCCGCGGCCCGGCTGGCTCTTCTTCCCGCTGTTCAATGGGAACAGCCGCTCGTCGACTTTCTCCCAGCGCTCGTTGCACGACCACAGCCAGTCGACGTTCACGACGTGGACTCCCTTGCACTTCTGCGCCACCGTCACCTTCCTCGTTCCCAACTGCGCGGCGACGACGTGAGTCATCGCTCCTCCCTTCTCCGGGGCTTCCTTCCCCTTTGGTGTAACGTCGGTTTGTATGTTGGCGCCGAGTGCCCTGGCTACGTTGTACGCACGGCTCCTCTCTGGAGCCAAGTTAGTTGGTATTAGACCACTGAAGACGATCGAACAGTCCTTCAGTGTCTTTCGTTTCACGTACGGCACGATGTTTTTCATATCTGGGATCACTTTCGGTGCATGTTCTTTTTTGCCTTCCTTTATCAGCTGATCATACATATCGTAGAAAGCTTTGTGGAGAGTTCCTAGAATATCTTCCAAGTAAAACAAGTAATCGTCAGAGTCTTCCGGTATAATGATCTCACCAGTTCCGCTTTTCTCAGGAGATTCTATTATGCATTTCACAGGGGGAGCATCTTCAGACGCCGATAAATCTTTCTCGTCTTCTTTCTTCTTTTCAAGTTTTTCCTTTTCAGTCTCTGCCGTCGGTTGCTGGACACAAAGGTTATCATCGATTTCCTTTTCAGAAATTTTACTTGATTGACACAATTCAATATCAACGGTATTTCCATTTTCAGTTCCTGTCTCCAATCTCACACAATCCTCATTTTTGGCTTCAGTGACTTTACGTTCCTCTATTACATTTTCACTTGTTTCAGAACACTCTTCTCCCACAGCAGCCACACTGTCGCTAATTTCCTTCTTTTCACTGGGTTTCAGTGGTGTTTCAACACCGGACTCCATCTTATGCTCGTTCACTGGAGCATCCTCATTAGCTCCTTCGCTAGGTTCCACTTTGCTTGCACATTCTTTATCCTCTGTAGTTGATGCGAAGTTTGCGTCGTCAGCAGTGCCATGTTCTCCTTCCTCCTCGCGCTCGTGAACCTCCTCCTGCATCTCATCTGCGGGTGTAACTTCTGCCGAACCATTCTTCACAGCACTGTCTTCCGCTGCTGGCTGTTTGGTCGGTGCTTCGGACGTGCTCTTCGCCGTCGTTATCGATGCGCTATCCTGAGGAGGGTTTTCCGACGCTGCTGCAAGGTCGACAGCGGCCACGTTTCCCGCTCCATTTTCCTCCACGATACCCTGTGCATTCTCACAGGGAACCTCCTGCCCCTCCTCCTGCTCCTGCTCAGCCTGCTTCACCTCCCCATTATCAAACCTCTGTTGTAGGAAGGGAAGCCAGTTTATGTCGCCTGAAATACAAAAGGAAATACAGAACGTTTCACGAATTAAATTCTGTGAAAAATTATGCAGACCGGTGGATAGTCCTATCGTACTGATGCGTGTTGGGCTTTAGTATACTGTGTATGTATATAGGTATGAAATGTATCGATCCTTTATTAAACAGCACTCCAAAGAATTGATGAATCGAACTGCAGTAAATTTTAGTAACACGAATAAAAACATTTTAGATGTAATGTTAGTCTGGATCCACAACCAATTCAATGTGTTATAATAGTACTAATCATTATCGCAGAGCTATAATGTTTCCAACAAATAGCCAGTTATATTGTACCACTGCAAAGTTCTGAGAGGCTATCTACCTGTCCCTTTGAAGAAGTGGTATGGCTTTACATGAATCAGGTTGGGAGCATATCCCCACACATCCTCCCTATCATCTATGATGCACACCATCGCATCACCACACGGAAACACACCCCTGCAAAAATACAAGCAAATATAAACCTGCAGTTTTGTGACTTATACGTTAGCTTTTAGATGCATGAATTTTGCGCTTGCTCTTTACGAACATGATCATTCATCACGTTTTAAATACTGAGACCACACAATAAACTTGCCAACACACCCATAAGCAAATTGACGCACAGATGGACAGGCAGGCAGGCAGGCAGGCAGGCAGGCAGGCAGGCAAGCAGACAGACAGACAGACAGACAGACAGACAGACAGACCGACCGACAGACTGACTGACAGACAGACAAAGAGACAAATGGATGCAACGCAAGCACACACATGAAATACGACCAATATAAGCCCATGTCTGATCACCTGCACTATTTAGTTACAATACCAACCTGATGCTAGCTGTTTTAGAACAGGGATCAAAGCACTCGTCTCGCGAGAGTATTCGGTGGTGAAACAGCTTGTCCTCAGGGTCCAGAATGCGCGCGACCGTGTGAGCGTATAACCGCGCTCCAAACGTGCAGATGTGCAGCTCGTACAGCTTACTGATTCTCTGCAGAAACTCCACAGCACCTGGCCTCACGCGCGTGTGGTACCACGTGCCCTGGTTCCATAACTGGAAGTGATGAACGTCCTGCAGTGCAAGCGTGGCACTAGATTAGTTTTCTAACATCGAGACCACGTAAACAGGTCAAAAAAAGAAGCAAACGTTACATCGCATGCTGCATTTTACTTTGACTCACTGTCGCAACAATAAGCATTGGGACGGAACCAAACATGCCAACAAAATTTCCCAGGACTGTACGACGATTCTGCTAAATCGTGAAAGAAATTATAGTGCATATAATAACGTTGTTGACATAATGGATGACTTTAGAGAAAAATCTGCATGATTGGACCTAGAACTGAAACCATTATGGGACAAGCGACACACTGGTATAGTTTCAGCCCCATTACAACGAGCGTTGTTATATGCATGCAAAAGATATACACATACTTTCATGTTAGGTGGTACATCCTCATTGGTTGTGTGAATGACTGTCTGGTCAAGATCCACCACAAGAGCGAGCTTGCGTGTTCTTAGTAGACGTGCCTCATCCTCATGCCCAAGGTTCTGTGCTTCCTGAAAGCAAGCTAGTTCATTATGACAATTAAAATGCATGGAAATAAATCCTCAATATCCTAGATAAAAAAATAGGCACGAGTCTTCTGATAAATTTATCTTCACCAAGAGAGTTGCTGACTCTGATCCATAGGCATGAAAATGTTACAATAATATCTAGAAATGTTTATACAGTAAAACTTGCATAAGTCGACACTTTTGGGACCAGCATATTTGTGTTGACTTATACAATGTATGTAATGTGCGTATACACTGTATTAGCTGCCTTGCGTAGCAGGACATTTGCAGTGCATGTCTGCCAACTTTTCTTGGAACACTTGCTGAAAAATATATGGTAATTCCGCGAGGCCGTGCTCTGGAACGAACTAGTTAGTACTGTATAGCAGAATTAATTTTCAGGGAGTCACACGGACTCCTGCATATATCAAATCAGGGAGTCCGACAGTAAATCAGGGAGTATTTGACTCGATCCAGATTCGCGTTAATTTCGCACCCTGCATTGGGCTGCATACACTATATACACTATATAATACACTGTATACAGTGGGGAATCTGGGGGTGTGCGAGCTGCAAGCTGGAAAAAAATGCAATGCGTCCAAGCGAACAAAGCGATTCAAACAATCCGTCTGCGACAGCCAGTTCGTGTATTCCCTAGACCGTACACTGCGCAATCGGCATTTCTGATGTCGACTTACAGATAGGAAATTACTGTTGTTTGTATTACATGGGACCTGTTTGAGGGCGTCGACTTGTACATGTATAAGGACGACTTATAAATGTCGACTTAGGCGGGGCTATTCCAATGGATTTACTATGAAAGCGAATCGGGACTTTGACTTCCATGTCGACTTAAGCGAGTTTTACTGTATTTAACATTTATCTTCTTTTAGAAACAGAAGATTAAATTTCACTCATTGAATTGAACTGAAAATGATTAAAGACCCCAAGAAGAAGAGATCTTTCATCATTAGACAGTAATGCAATTTGATCAGTGAACAGAAGAAGGGCATGAATATGGGGTCTAGCCATTTAGATGGCGACCCACCTTATACACATACAACAAAACATTAACTCTAATCTTTAATACTTTGTAAATATTTTGCTACCTATTTACATTACCTAACTTAACGCATTCCCGTACCATACACAAGAAAACAAATAACTTGCAGCAAACAAACACGTACTTCTTCGCTGACCATCAACTCTGGGATGCTATGTACCATAGCAACTGAAGCCACAGTTGGGGCTGCCCGATCTCCGGCCAATCCATATTTTCTAAAAAAACACACCGACACATCAAGTAATAATTTGTAAATGAAAGAACACAAATGAAGCTATTTCTGTTGACATAAAGAAGCAGAATATGATTTCTTTATTATTGAGTCGAATATTGACTAATCAAATGACATACTAACAGATTAAAAAATTTTGCTATACCCATTCTAAAGGATTATACATTTACTACTAAATAATTACTTATAAATAGTACTTATAATTACTACTGGCACTGATTTAGGCCGTACTTTCTGATGCTATGGCCGTGCACGTATCTAGTGGGTATAACATAAAAATAGTTTCTCATAAGTGCTTACTCTCTCAGATCCGCACCACACTCAGCACACATGTCCTTCATGACTGTAGGATGTGCACACTCTTCAGGTCTAAAAAAAGTTCAGATCAGTCTAGATAACATGGATAATATAAGAGGAGTTTAGTATGATGACAAGGACGGGTGGGAATTTGCAATACGGAATGACAGAAACAAAGAAGCTAAACTTAAAAGGTTCCTTAGAAGATGGCACATGTCAAAAGCACTGATCACGCTCAGATGATTGAGTGCAATGAACAGCCTTCATCAAACAAAAGGGAATGCCAATCTTCAACTGACCATGATAAATTTTATGGAAGGATATAAGTTTAGCATGGAGAACAGGGACACAAAAAGGAGACCAATCAATTTGCGCCAAAACAACATCAGCAATATCATGATATACTTTGGAAACCTATCTCGCAGCTTTATGCTGAATGGCATCCAATTTTAAACAGTTCTTAGGTGTATAGGTGAACCAGCTAGCCTGGTGAAGCATATTCTAATATGGTGAGAACCATAGTTTTAAAAGCCAGAGAACGAGTTTTAGAATCGGCAAAGCTAAGGTTGCGCCGTAACATACCAAAGGACCGAGACGCTTTGGTTCAAGGATAGAGATGATGTCCAGGATGGTGATAGGATAGGATGATGTTTATTACTAAACATGCTCTCTATCCTTGAGCCGACGCTTTCTTACAAATATAATCAATGTGGGCATTCCAGCGAAGATCGCTACTAATAATGACACCCAAATATTTGTAAGTAGGGGTAAGAGATAGATATTTGTGGTGCACCGAGCAAGTAAAAGTCAAGAGTGATTTGGAGTGGGCAATTCAAAGAATTTTAAATTTTTCAGCCTTTAACGACATACCCCACGTTGCTGACCACTTCTCAGCACGAGTAAGAACAGTCTGGAGGATTAACTGACCACCCTTTTTGTAGATGGTGTGGTACAGAACTGCGTCGTCAGCAAAAAGCCGAATAGAAGTAGAAGAGTCAGTTTCGGCCAACAAATCATTTAAAGGATAAGAACAGAACCTTGGTGGTATACCAGATGTGACAGCAACCACATCTGACATGCTGCCGTTAACACAGACAATTTGTGATCTATTCTTAAAAAAGTCAGATCTTGTTAAAATTCAAAATGTTGTACTACAGTCTACAGACGTACGGTAAAGTACAACTAGTAGTGAATTACTGTAGACTGTAGTGTATCATGTACTAACAAGTCCGTGTCAATTCCTAGTTTAGCATATATGCGAACTATATATACAGTCTACAGAGGTCCCAAACTAGGACTGAGCACAAGTCCGTAAGCGTAGGCTTAAAACCTGGCACTAGCAGAGTAAATAAAATAGGCATTTTATAATACATTAACCGCCTTTCGCGATATAGAATTATTGTAATAGGTAGATGGAGACTTCATGTTTAACTATCACACCTTGAGCTTGCACTCGAGGGCTTAGAAAACCGTCTTTTTCGCATTTTTCCTGAAATATCTTTGTTGTCATCGAGAGCCGCCATTTTGAATGTCAAGCACCATCTGCCGGAAATAAACGTCAGTAGATAGCTTTTGCGTTCGTATATCCACCCAGCAGCATGGCACACAGGCTATATTGTAACATATTTTGTATTTTGCCTGATATGCACTTCTGGAAGTAAATATAGACGTCGCTCACACACGCAACGCTAAATAATCGCATGAACATCATTTTACGCACGTAAACGCCGATGGGTTTTACCACTGATATAGAATATAGATTGTATTGATTAATTCTATAATTTGTATAATTTGTATATAGATTCTATAATTTATAATACAGATTAATCTTCTATTCTATATACATGGTTTACACGTTGCTGTGCCGTGTATACATTGCTGTATATTTCACGCATGTATATAATGTTGCGTGTACGTCTTACCGCGTTATCTATCACCTTATAAACCTCCATGCATGCAACTCCACCCAACTTACCTGCATGCTCCAGAATCGTGTGTCAGACTACCAATTTTCTCACCTCGCATCACCAGTTGTCTTGTTATGCCTCCCCAACGTTTAGGCTCACCTGCTCCACCCTTGTCCCCCACCTCTACCCGTGTGTTCATCTTCTCTCCCGAGGGTCTACACCGGCAGAGCTGCCCTTGTCCTATAGCTCAGCCGTTTCCTCTCTTCTTCTTTTCTCTACCTAATATAATCTTCTCCCCCTTAGTCCGGCCCTCTCTTAGCTTTCACCTCTAGCTACTTGATCGATCCATAAGGGAAGTGACGGTTATTTTCAGGACGCAAGATTGAACAATTTCAATTGCTGATTGAACCCGTGATTCGGGAACAGAGGTCAATCGTGACGCGGGGAAGCCGACATTGACTGGGAACTGGAAAATGACAATTTTTCACCCGAGACACTGGCAATGGAACACTCCTCCCGTTCCACCTCGTTTCATGTTTCACCGCGCCAACCAGCTATCTGCCCTCTTCCATATTTTAAGAGTAGATATAATAGATAAAATCTTGCTACTAAATAAAACTATACCAGTACCGGTACTGTCTTGTTATTGGCTGAAATTATACCGACAGTGCACGAATCAACCCAGTGATTTTCTTCGTGTGGTAATGAACCAGCCTCTATTACTTGCTTCCCGGAGAAATTGGAGGTGAAAAATACCACAATGTTTTAATTACTTAAGAATGCTGTATGTAAACCATTAGGCACTACTGACATTAACTATAGGGCTTCTTATGAGGCAATTAGAGATCTAGCAGTGCACCAATAAATGCGGAATGCTGTCAGGATCCGTTTCAACACTCCCAGTAGATGTAAACCACGAGCTAAAACGCAAGTTATTAGAGCTTTGTAGTTAGTTAGATGACAGGTCAGATATCAACACACCAAGCTATTGCTACGCTATAATTGGGAAAATTAATAATGCAGAAATATTAAGAAGAGGTAGTTTGTTATTACAAAAAATCCGTTATATTTACAATTACATAAATATATATAATCAGCACAAAGACGCCCATATGCATATTTATTACTATTGCATATTGAAATCATTCATAGATAACCCAGACATGCCAGACTTCGTACAGAGCAATAACAACCACATAAACGTACTAAGCATTAAAAAGGCTCTGTGTACAGCTAATCAAATTGTCATGTTGGACTACAGAAATGCACCGACTCAATTTTATATAGTTCAACCTACTGCTTAGTAAATGCTGGTAAAAGCCACTGTTAAAAGCATTTACATATATTCATTAGAGTGGGAGTGGGTGCAATAGCTGATCACTAACGCAACATGATAAACATTCTTGAACCATAAATATCCCAGAACAGCAAGCACACAACTGCAATCGAGCAATTAACTTATGGCTCAGAAATTCGGTGTAGTACTATGTTACGATGTAGTTACTCTGAAATGTAACGTGCAAATTGTTGTCTGCTAAAGTTAACAGCAGACGTTTTTTATTGTGCTTGTAATTAATGAAAAATGGGCAATAGAAATGGAATTAGCTGTCCTTGAGGTGTGACTTTATCTCTGAGCCTTCACTCTGTGCAGCAGGAACAGATTTTCTTCTAAAAAAGTTCTTTATCTTCCCTATTATGCCACCCTTCTTGTGAGCTTCTTCAACAATGAACCTAAAATAGTTAATTGTTTAATTAGTATTAAATAGCTCACATTGTATCATTCACACCCACTGATATCAAATATTATTTAAAGCTTGTTTGCCCAGTACCAAACGAAATAATGATGACATGGTAACAAATTACATGCATTTGCATTTGCTCAACACCTTTTATCCCCAGCAGCACATTTCTGTTTTACCTAGAAACATAAACATATGTATTATAATATATGTGTTCATGATAGAACCCATAAACTCTATTCGCACGTTAATGAGTTACTGCTATTAAACATATGGAATACCTTCTTGTTGTAAGGTTATGAATGGAGCCAAAAGCAATGGCCACGACTGTGCAAACAAGGCAGATGACGTTGTACGGCATACTGAAATCTGGAGTTGCTAGTGCCACCAGCAGTGTCTCTGTATGTAGCCGCATGAAATATGTCTCTCGTGTGTTGTTAAACCTAAAAAGAGCAACAAACCTTAGGTATGCCAGTGATATGTATCCATTACACATACAGACTAAATGAAAGTGTCGTTTTTGTAGCTCACCTTGGGTGTGATAGAAGACCCATCTCCATAGGTCTCTCCCATAGGAGTAACAACTGTTTTAGGACTAGCCTTAAGGCCGCCGCACACCAGCCGATTTTTACAAACGATGAAGCGATGAAGCGATGAAGCGATGAAGCGATGTAGGTGTGCGCGTTCATTTGTAGACGATTTTATTTTTATCGGGTGATCGTTCCAAATCAAACATGTTTGATTTTGAACCGATGAACCGATGAGCCAATTTTAAGGCCGCCGCACACCTACATCGCTTCATCGCTTCATCGTTTGTAAAATCGGCTGGTGTGCGGCGGCCTTTACACATTCACATACCAAAATTTAACAAAATCGAATGAATCTAGATCTATGGGCATTTTCATTTTGGCCAAAAAGTCGGCGTGGCTCGAAAGTAGGTCGACTGGAGTGCTCCAAAATAGGATGTTCAGATCTCTCCCATAGGAGTAACAACTGTATGAAATTTGAAACATGTGGGTCAAACGGTTCTTGAGTTATCTTTGACAGTAGACAGACACTGAAATGCATAGGAAAATTGCCAAAATCTACCTAATTTTCACAATTAAAAAAAAAATCAAAACCTGTGTGATATGTTTTGGGGCCAGTCCCTATTCATTCACATACAAAAAATGAGCAAAATCCGTTGAACCTGAACTGACTTATGGCCATTTAAATTTTTGCTAAAAAGTGAGCATGGCTCGAAAGTAGGTCAACTGGCGTGCTCCAAAATAGGACGTTCACATCTCTCCCATAGGAGTAACAATAGTATGCAATTTGAAACATGTGGGTCAAACGGTTCTCAAGTTATCGTTGACTGTAGCCAAATGTTGACGGACGGACGACGCCCCCTGGCAATAGCTCATCTTGACGATGTCAAGGCTAGCTAAAAATTGGAATCATCACACATTACTATCAAATAAATGAACACAATTAGTCAATTACTCACATGTGACTCAGTTCTGAAGACTCTGCAAAGCCAAACATGTGATTAGGTGGTCTGACCAGCACAGTGCTGATCACAGCCGAGTTAATGAGAAATCCCTGACTCGCGTCCGGCGGGTACTCTGTCCACTTAAGAAAAGCACGGTCAAACTCTATGCTGAGGCGCGTGGTGGATGACCTAGGTAATGTGAAGACCAACTCCATGAGATGTGGCCTTGCTCTGTCCTTGCCAGCAACAAAATGCTGGTACTCTGTATCAGAACGTGTAGAATAAATGAAAACACTCCAAACATGCCAAAGGAAACTTCTAAAAATTCTTCCAATTAATTTTTGAGAACACTTTTGGTGAGCGATATTGGGTCGATAGGTACTATGGTTGAAATATTCTAATAAAACCCTACATTATCTTTAGCAATGACAGCCTTGTTAGCAATGCCAGATTTTTAATCAATTTCAAAAGATGCTACATAAAAAACAGAGAGCAAGCTGCAAGAACCTTTGATGTATAAATTTGTTGAACATTATTTCACCTGGCTTAATCTTGACACCTTCACTCTCTATGGTCAGTGTATGGAAGTACACTCGTATATACCAGGGTATAGACTCCATGTAGATGACAGTAATATTGGCATGAGGATCTTCATTGTGTAAAAGACACACAATTCCTCCACGTTCTTGCCCATAACCTTAAAATACAGTTATGTAGGTATAAATGTATATTATCATAGATCTGTGACTTGGCCATGATGCAAATTTTAAATTGGCTTAGTAATGCTACCATCTAGACTAAATATTTGTAAGATAACACTGGAATTATGTCAGAGCAATAATATTTCAAGGATAACAATATAGTAAAGCAACACATTTCTAAAATCCTCTTTATACCCGATGCAAAACGTTGAGCATGAAGAATTGGTGGCTGCACTGAAGTGTAAGGTATCAGACTTGTGGTATACTTTGCACCAATGTTTAGCCTTCCATTATTTAAAGTGAAATCTTTGACATTGTGTACAGCATAAGTTCTAGTGTGACCATGATTCATCTCGATGTGCGTTTCCCCTGGTGGAGGGCTAAGAATAGCACTGCCCTGATAACATATAAAAGTACACGCCGTCATTACTTTAAAAATAAAGTTTAGTAGTTTAGTGATTCACACACTCTGATGCTTTTCTAATAATATCTATGAAGTGGTAAGTAGTATAAAGTATATAGTATAAAAAATATATATTCATAACACAAAAAGCTATTAAAATTTCAACAATAACTTAGCTCACTCTATACAACTGGTAATTTGGTTCTTGGCTCACCTCAATATCTGTTGTATCGGTGTACACAACACTTCTTGAAGCCAACGGACAGTGACCAGATAATGTCTCACCAAATAACTGCCGGAGAGACCAGTCTGCAGTAAAAGAAAATTGCATTGATTACCTCTATGGTCCATCACATGTAAGGCCATTTGATGGAGCATTTGTCAATGTAGTGGATTACATGTGTACCTCTTCGTCCATTGTTGCGTATGTGATTGTCAATCACAAGTGAAAGACTTTGGCTCAATTCTAAAGATGGATCCTCACAGCTGCTTCTGGACTGCACAAAAAGTAAATAACTATTGTTTTTTGCTATTTTTTTTAAACATTTTTATTACATCAGATTATGAATTCTTTTAAAACTCAGATATTGTGATTTTATTATGAAAGAAGAATGATGAAAAACAAATAATCATAGAAATGGGGGTAGCATTATATATTTAATGGCAAATTAATTAACTATATTGAAAAAAATGTGTCTCTTACTCTGCAAACTGGTCTTATGGATACGGCGAGAGAGTGGTAATTCGCATCATACAACTTTTTTGCTTTTAATAATGATCCAAGCCCAGTCTGAAAAATATAAACAAGTGCCGCAGAGCGACAGCGCTCAACTGACGTGTACTGTAGCCGGGTATTCTTCTAATAAACTCACTGGCAACCGAATCCAGTGTGCCCTCACGCCACCGCGTTCGCGCTAAGAGCATATATCTAGGATACTACTAATACAGATCTCCTCAAATCTATGCTAGCTCTTAGGCTTTGCTATACCAGTAGCTACAGTACATAAAGAACAGCTGTGTAACTTTAAATGACTTCGCCTATATTAACATGTTATCATGGCATATGCGCAATCGAGC